GAATAATTTTCCTTCTATATTTACTTTTCTATTATAAGACAACAAKTATTTCAACTCAAATAAACGTACAAGAAAAAAAATTCATGAACACACTTGATGCTTTACATGCAGTGACCCATGCAACGCTTTTAACAAAAGATTGCGAAAGCTTGAAAAAGTTTAATATACAGAAATTTTAATTGATTTATCAGTTATTTTTTCTTGTTGATCACCAGTATTTTTGTTTGTTTGGTTGATTGGATTTTTTTTCTCGTCATTCAAAATTATGAATCTGACAACATTGAAAATCATTGTTGAAATTAAAACGTTATAAAATGTGTGATAAAGGGTATTAAGCCAAATTAAAATTCACGCATTTTTGCAAACGGCTCTACTGAAACAACGGAATTAATATACATTATTATTTATCAAGTGTCAAAGTTCACTTTTCCTAGTATCTTATTGGTCGAGAGTGTACCAAGTGAAAGTCACAAAATTTTACTGTTTCCCGACAACTGTCCACCAGCGGTCAATAATATGTTGTGGACCGTCAATAAGTACAAAGTCGCAGAAAAACAATCTTCAGTGTCGTGACAATGTCACATTTACGGACGTTGCAATTCCAAAATTGTTATGAAACATTTAATTTCGACTACAAATAGTTAAATTAGTATTCATTGTGTTATTACATTGATTGATTTTAGTGACTATTTGCAGTATTGCCATTTTTCAGTTATTTTATCAAAATATTTAATAAAACAATTCATTTATTTACTTTTTTTTGCTCTCTTTGACACTTGATATGATAATAAAGCACTTATTTACTGGAAACCTCGGGAAACAGCATGTTTTGTGGTCCCGAGACCGCTGATGTTTCCCGAAGCGAAGCTGAGGGAAACATCAGCGGTCTCGGGACCACAAAACATACTGTTTCCCTCGGTTCCAGTAAATAAGTGTTAATTAGTACGTTCTAATTGCATTGCTTTATCTTATTTCATTTGACTATCACAAATAGTCAGGGTTTTTTTCACGGGTTTAATGGTTTTACTGTAATCGTAATTATCTACGTTTTGAATTGCTGTTGATTCACCTGGGGAAACTCCTTTGATGAAAGCAAAAAACGCCTTTTCAAGTCACTGGGACGATGCAGACAATATATGGACACTAGACCTGAGCAGCGTTGGTCTTTCTAATAAAAGACTTGTCAATATGAACTCTTAAATTCATTGTCATTTTGAGAAGTACGCACAGGTCCGCGTAGCCAAACATCTCTGTGTAATAATAAATAATAAATATATTAATAAAGTATAAATTAGATCGGTTTCTCACGCATATGTGAATATTATTGTTCTACCAACAATCACAAATGCTTCTACCAAAGAATGAAAAGACGGTATAAATGTCTTTTTTTTTAACAAAATTACAACAACTCTTCGCCTGAAAGTCTTGTATCTGTGCTGTCATAGAAACACGATGTTTTGCTTAATATAACCAATCAATGCGCGCGTTCTTTATTCCATCATTTTATTCCCGCACTGTAATGAATTTTGATTTTCACTCACATATAATCAATGAATTCTAAATTAGCATTTTTTCAATAATGAACGTTTTGAGTCAAGTTTGCAATTTGTTTTAAAATGTATAATNACCTAGTGCGATCTGGTGTATGATCTCTGACTACCGCTGACCACAATTAATTTCTTGCTTCATATTCTTGTATTCTTAGTTTCATTTATCATTGATTTCCTGTGACTGGATATCGCGTTTATTGGTTTCAATCGTTACATTAAGGTTATCTTGTTTTCAGGAGCCCATATGAACCCAGCCGTCACGCTAGCTTTTGCAGTGACACGTCGGTTACCATGGAAGAAAGTACCCGTTTACATTCTGGCTCAGATGGGTGGGGCTTTCATAGCATCTGCCGTTCTATATGGAGTCTATTATGGTAAATACAATACGAATCTAGAGAAGGGGGTGAAGCATCAGCATCGTCATTGGTTGGCTAGTTGGTTGGTTGGATCGGCTAGTTAGTTGTTGGTTGGATTGGCTAGTTAGTTGTTTGGTTGGATTGGCTAGTTAGTTGGCTGGTTGGGTTGGCTAGTTAGTTGGTTGGTTGGATTGGCTAGTTAGTTGGTTAGTTGGATTGGCTAGTTAGTTTGCTGGCTGGCTGGCTGGATTGGTCGCTTGATTGAGATATTGACTAATTGGCTGAATGACTGGTTGATGGCGTGGCTGATTGGCTGGATGCATACATTATTGTTAGTTGTATTGAATAGTTCTGTTTCATTCCATTAANTCATAGCATCTGCCGTTCTATATGGAGTCTATTATGGTAAATACAATACGAATCTAGAGAAGGGGGTGAAGCATCAGCATCGTCATTGGTTGGCTAGTTGGTTGGTTGGATCGGCTAGTTAGTTGTTGGTTGGATTGGCTAGTTAGTTGTTTGGTTGGATTGGCTAGTTAGTTGGCTGGTTGGGTTGGCTAGTTAGTTGGTTGGTTGGATTGGCTAGTTAGTTGGTTAGTTGGATTGGCTAGTTAGTTTGCTGGCTGGCTGGCTGAACAAGGGGCCGTTTGGCGTGCGCATGCGCCAGTCTGTTGAAAATTCATTGAAATTCATTAGTGATTCACTTCAAGCGAGAAATTACAACGACACGAAGGACAATTTCCAAAAATGTTTTTGGCTGTTTTTGACCCTGAAATGTTCTGTCATGACTCAAGAACACTCATAAATAGTGTAACCTACAACGAGGAAAAACACTGGCGTTATTGGACTGATTGGGACCGTTTAAAATCTTATTTAACAAATGTTGATATTAATGACTTTGTGTTTACAATATCGGAGGCTGCAGTGGTTTATATACGCAACTACTATTCCAGTTTTTGCTGAGTGCTGGTCAAGATTCAACGCAGGTCATGAAGTAAATGGTAAATGTACACATGGAGTAATATAATTAGGCGTTGTTTAGTAACATCGACCTCGAAATGTTCGAAAGACAGTTTCTTGAAGTGTACAATATTTACGCTTAAATATTATTAACTGTTACATGAAATACTACTTTCCTTTTATATACCACCAGGACTCATTAGAATAAGGCTTCCAATATCAAGACTTATGCTTTGCAAATGGTTTGATAATGTTTTCTTGTCTATGAAAAATGTGGAACGGTGTTAATTCTGCAAATTCTTACGTGCTGTTGAGCACTCACGACAAATTTAGCATTCTTTTGGCTGAAGAGTTGAGCTTGTTTGAATCAAGTTATCATAAATATCTATGTGTAGTTCTATAGCTGTATCATTATAAGTTATGAAATAAACTATTGCAGTGCAATCGATTCACATCTTAGGAATTTATTATTGCTAAAGGTGTGCCCAAATAATTCACTACATTTTAACGGTACAAAGTGGCTTCGTGTTATAAATCTAGCCCGRGACTCACAGTAATTTATATAAAGTTTGAAAGATATTCGTGTGCATTGTAAATATATCTACTTGGTTTTGTTTGGAAAAATGTGGAAGATAAGTAAAAACATCAWTTATGTTCAGAATCGAAGCTTCCGCAGCTACTACAATGTTATTCTACCCGTATTCTAGAGCCCATGGTCGTTATAACGCAGCGGTTGCGCGCATGCTCATGCAAAACGGCCCCTTGTTGGCTGGCTGGATTGGTCGCTTGATTGAGATATTGACTAATTGGCTGAATGACTGGTTGATGGCGTGGCTGATTGGCTGGATGCATACATTATTGTTAGTTGTATTGAATAGTTCTGTTTCATTCCATTAAGATGCTCTCAATGCCTTTGATGGTGGTGTCAGGCAAGTTCTTGGACCGCAAGGAACGGCGGGAATCTGGGCGACCTATCCTTCAGATTTCCTGTCTACAGGAGCTGGATTTGCCGATCAGGTTATTGTGACTAAATTGTCTTATAAAACTAATAAAAAGATAGACCTTTAATTTCTGACACAAGCACTTCCCATATTGAATTACTTGGCGGCATCTTCTGAGGGTCAAAATTTGCACTTTATAAGTTATATATAAATTTTCACTTTATATATAGTTTGAAACTGYTCCAAACAGGCGAATCTATTTAGCATCTTTGCATTTAGGTATTAGAGACGCCTTTATGTCAGCTTAGATAATACCTCAACGACTGTGTATCATTGCATTTTGTTTGCCAGCTTCATATGTGTACTAAGTAACTTAGCTTTTGAAGAGCGTTTATTACCCTTTGTTAGAGTGCATCCATGTTTGATCAAATATGGCGGACACCACGCACCTTTTACGCCTCGTTTTCCATGATTCATGATTCAAACTGCATGCGGTAAATAAATGTGTAAGAAATTATGATCGTCAGCGAAATTAAAATAATCTATAAAGTAACTATTAATAAATGTCTTCCCTTTGAAGCCCGAAATTTTTTCGCGCGATACATATATTGATAATTGCTAAGATTATTATAATTTTACTGAACGATCACAATTCCTAAAGGAATTGAGAAGGTCTTAGCAAAGACGGTTCTCATTAACCGAATCTTGTGTTTTCTGTGTGTAAAAGGAGGGATCAAAATATTTTGACTCCTTGTAAAATGAAGTTTAGAAACTCCTTTAAGATCCAAGTGCAACAAATATCAAGAGATCACAAATCTAGGTTACACTCTTTTACATTTATTATATGGCTACACTCTTACACATTTATTATATGATTATTATATGTCCAGGTTTTGGGTACCGCTCTTCTTGTTGGAAGTGTGTTCGCCATTGTTGACAAGTTCAATGTCGGCCCAGATAAGACCATCGCTCCGGTTCTCATCGGTCTCGTTGTGTTCGTTATTGGAGCCACCTTTGGATTTAACTGTGGTTATGCGATCAACCCAGCCAGGGATCTGGCGCCTAGGATTTTCACAGCGATGGCTGGTTGGGGATCAGAAGTCTTCACGTAAGTTGAACTTTGTGTTGTTTCTTACTGGATGCAAGCTTGACAGAATAATTCCTATCAGTTAAAAATATTCGTTCCCCTATGACATACAGCTATTTCAAGAGGGATGGTTTTCGTAGAGTTTCGCGTCTATTCATCTTTAACTTTCGCTCGGCTGCCAATTGCGCCTTAAACAGCGGTCGTTGTGAAATGATCTATACATGTGAAGCGCCTTTGAACCCAGAGGATATTGGCGCTATATAAATACCACATATTATTATTATTATTATTATTATTATTATTATTATTATTATTATTATTATTATTATTATTATTATTATTATTATTATTATTATTATTAAATACTGTCTGATGAGTGCGTAGCACGAAACTCGGAGTTACAGCAAAATCTTGCCTCTTTGATATTATATATATAACTTGTTCGTTATGTAAAAACAAAAGGGAAGGTCACATGACCAACGTTTTTGCCTACTTGATGTATAGTTTAGGGYTGGGCTAGCTTTGATTGGGTTAGAGCTACTGTCATAGGGCTACGATTTGGCTTCGGGTTTGGCTTCGATTAAGGGTTAAGTTTAAAGCTATAATTAGGGCTTTAAGGATAGTCACCTTATCAGCATACCCAAAGGCAAACACGAGAACATATCTGAAACCTTAACTCACTGGCTATGCATAACTTTGGATTAATTTATAGCGTAATTATACATATRATTAGACTTTTAGAGTAATATGGAGACCATTTATACCTTTTGTTTGTTTTGGTTTAAAAAAGATGTGTTCATTCGCTTCTCTTCTTCTTCTTTCTTTTCTTATTCGTCTTTTTATTCTTAGTTTTGTTTCTTTTTTCCTTATTTTATTATCGTCGTTGTTGTTGTTCTCGTCGTTTGTTTGTTAGTTTCTTTTTTGCTTATTTTGTCGTGGAGATAATCACGTTTTTTTTCGTTTAATTATAATTTCATGTATTTTAAGTGCTGCCAATAGCTGGGCTTGGGTCCCTGTGATTGCCTGCCCAATTGGAGGAATCATCGGTGCCTATACCTATATCTTATTCATCGAATTGCACTACCCAAAACAAGGAGGCGAAGAAGAAGACGATGAGGTTGAAAATGGGAACAACGAACAGCAGCGTCGACTTGTCGACCCTACCCCAGAGCAAGAAGGCAAAGAAAAAAGGAGCGAGAGCTCTATGTAAAGGAATCGTTGAACTTTAAATTAGTTTTTTGGAATTATCTGCACTTCGTAGAGGGTGTTAAATTCGCCCCACATGAATCCGAGGATCTTTGCACGATTTTTTCGCATACAGAAGATTGAAAACTTAATCCGTTCACATCTTGTGCAATTTTTATTCTGTTGTTGTTAATCAGTTGTTATTTTCCACGACTATAATCGCGCCTTCTTGTGGGATGGATTTTTAACCAATAGCAAGGCAACTTTCAAAAACAGATCTTTAAAAMAAAAAAATATTCGCAAAGGATCTCGGGTGCAAGTGGAGCTTTAATGGGAACGTAAACCACGATGCTTAGACATATATCAGCACTTAAGAGCTATGATACATACTCTATATAGTAACGACCAGTCTTTCTAAGTAATTGAACTTCTTCTTTAAAGTATCTTCTGTTAGGAAAATGTGTTGAGCGACGCCATTTTGTGCAACAAGGCATGATGGGATTAGTAGTCCTCGTACTTTCTCATGTCAGCTAAAACAGTCTTTCTAAGCGTTTTTTTTTGTTTTCTTTGCAAGGTAGTTGTACCTTTTCTTGAGAAAACGGCTGTCATGTAAACTTTTTAGTCATTTAAAAAGCGCGAGGAATGCAGCTTCCATCTTGCTGTGTCGAACAAAATTGCGTCGCTGCACATAGCCAATCTCATCCAGTATTTGTAGCCYATAAAGAAAACTGGAATTGATTACATTTGTAGATCGAAACTTGTTTATTGTAAACGACAAAAAATCGATGTTCTTACTATGTAAAATGTATACAAAAACCTTGCAAAATAGCGTATGAATTGAAATTTACAGAGCAGGATTGGACCAAGTTTCCGTGGAAGAGAATTTTGACGCGTTTACTTTTGGAATTTTTTGCACTGATCACTCATTAAATTCTCTTTAATTACTGTTTGCTCATCTAAGTAAATTTAGATTTTATGCTTTTTGTTTAGGTAGAATGAAATGTGTGAAAATACAGATCTGTGTCCTTATTCAACATCGTAAAAATGTGAGAGTCGTCATGGTTGTTTTTGTTTTCTTCTTTTCGGCTGTTTTATGACCGGTTTGACGGGTTTTCATGTAGAAAAACCTCAGGCGTTTTTTAGGAGAGTCTTGACATTCATAAAAAGAACACATAGATGATTTATTTCCACCTAAAAAGCCATGATACTGGCACTCAATGAGGTTTTGTTTTAGATTTTTCAATGAAACAATGAGATGACTTGGAATATCCATTCGCAATCCGTTTCCATCTATCGGTTTTGAGGTCGTATCTTATAATATCTCCATTCATTGAGCATAAAGGGATAATAAAGCTTAATCTTTTCTTATATTACCTTGTATCTTTATTTCAAACACACAAAAGATCTTGAGAGACTGCTGGTTGGCAACGGCGCTTAGACTGATGAAAATATAATGCTAACGTTTATGTTATTATTCAAAGAATGATTTTATTGCTTGTAATATTGAAACATTAAAACTGTGCACATAGCTTCCCTATACCAAACAGCTTGATTCTCTTCTAAAGGTATATAGAGCGGATTTCGTATGAGTGGGAAACGGACGGTACTGTACTGTAACCGTAATCGTACTAATCGTACTGTAACCAAATTCTAGTGCCCCATTGGTTCACCAAAATTGTGCAGGCCAGGTCCGGTAACTGTGCGGTAACCGTGCGGTAACGATGTCCCACTCATACGAAATCCGCTCTATTTAATCGAGTTATGACMTAAAAGTATATAATAAGGTACTTTAATGTGAGTAGCTATGCCATTGCACACTATTGCNTGTAGGAATTTGTACAACTGTCTACATCCCCAAAGGGCCCGCCAAGCTCGAGGCCAAACGTACACAGCTCAGGGAAAACTCGTTCGCGCGCTTTTTCGAAGTTTTCAACCGAATCCATTTACGCTGCCAGGTTTATTTTCAGGAGCGATGCAAATGCAAAGTCTTTCAAGCGTTATCAAATTCCTACACTCCCCATAGTAGTCGGGAGTACTTGAACTGATTCCATGGTAACTGTCGTCCAATCAGAGGGAACGGTGTCCATCAAGGTTGATGAATGCTTGAACGGATTCAAAAATTGAGTCAGAATAGCGTAAAAACATGACGATTTGGCACGGTTGAATTTGAAGTCCATTAAAATATTGCCCAATTCTGGCATGGATAGAAGTATCCTAGAGACATGCCACTGAGGGGATTTTGGAGGCAAAAGATGGATTTAAGATATTTTTTTCGGCCTTCAAAGACGATTGGTGTGGAAGTTCTGTAACCAGCCTTGTAGTCTTTTATGACTGATGGCGATATTTTTTAAAAAAATAGCTCTAAATCCCTTCAAAATCACACACAGGAATGTTAAATAACATCAGCAACACATGAGATTAAGGTAAAATGTATTCTATTTGAATCAAATGCTTTGCTTGGGTTGCCTGTGGTACCGCAGGACTGATGCCTTCAAAAATTATAATTTCCCAAAATCGTTTAGATGTCGCTGAAAAACTTTCTCTGGGAAGACAACTAGACAACAAATTCAGTATTCCAATTCAAAGCATGTCTCGGAAATCAAGTTCTTTGGTCGAATAAGACTTCTGTTTTGACGTAGACGCTCAATTCTGGATTTTGCACTCGCTGGGACGACGTGGACGCTCAATTCTGGATTTTGCACTTGCGGGACAACAGCGAAAAGCTCACTTTTTTGGCTTAATTTGCAGCTACTTCGGCAAACTCGCATTTCTCGAATGCACAACCCAAGTGCACCCTGGGAATGTTGACATCTATGAGACAGAGAATGGCCAACAATTTTACTTTACTACCAGGCCACTCGCACCTACAAACAAAATATTGAATCAATTACATTCTTCGGATTTTCAAACTTGCCAAATTTACTTTGGTAGGTTCTGAAATCTGCCACAGAAAGAATAGGGAAGCGACCTTTCTCTAACGTCGGCAATTCAAAGCAACCTTCGGTTTGTCGCCGTCTTCTTCGAAAAAGGGAGTGTGATTTGTTTTGGAGATAATCACACTCGTTAAATACACGTTTCCAAAAAAAATTGGATGGAAATTGCTCATACATTATAATAAAAGTTTTCTGTTTTTAAATTGAAAGTAAGCTTCCTTATACCAACAAATCGCGAACCGTGAAGGGGAAATGGTACAGACCTACAGAGGAACTTAAGAAGGTTGTCTGCTCGTGGAACATTCTCTAAAGTACGTCCATGTAAAGTTTTCGTTTCCTCCTCTAAAACAGACCTTACAGAATAGACCATTTTATTCAAACGGAAAGTCAATATCGACGTAAGTCACATGGCATTGAACAATCTGGAAATGTGTTATTACTTGAACAACCTTAGATCGGTTATATGTATACCTATTTAAAACAAAGTTGTCGGATAAAAGATGGCAATTATCGTAAGCAGATTGCAACCAAAAAGATCCATGGGTCTTGTTAATTGATAGAGAACCCGTGAAGTAAAATTTTGTATTTCAAACAGCGCAATGATTCGCCGTTCTCACCGACAGTTTTTTTTTTCTTTTTTTTTTCTTTTTTTTTTTTGTATAAAACCAAATTAGCATGCGAATCATTCGAAATTGAACAGATCGATAAGGGTGCCATATTTCTTCATCTCAATCGAAATCGAAGGCCTCCGTCAACATCCAAATTAACACCAGTGATGAAAGAAGCCTTTGATGAGCAGAGGAATGCCGCAGCTTCTCCAATATCTTCAGGTGCAATGCCAGCTTTCATTGGACACATTTTTGCTGCAGTTTCCTCAAATTTCTTTTCGTCTCCTTGTCCAAATACTAGTACTCCGGCATCGCTTTTTGTAACACCAGGGATTATGCAATTGCAGGTTATTCTTCGAGGAGCGAGTGAAATGGCGTAACTGCGAACCTAAAAATCAAGCAATTTTATCAGTTATTATCCTGCGTCCATGCAAGTTATAAGTTGCAATGTAGAAAACAATCAATTAAAATTTGACCTGGTCAAATCCATAGAGAAAAAAAACTCTCGACTCCTTTATTCAAAGTATTTTATCATTAGCAAGATATCCTTTATGTTTTCTTCCGCCATCTTGAAAGGAAACCATGTCTCTGGTGGTGCAGCGTAGCGAGACTGAAGTGACCAAAGCAAGGAGGACAACCTATTCCCATACAGCAATGAAATATAGGTTGAAAAATTCTTGATCATTTGTAGATAGCGATTAAAAAAAACCTTGTAAAAATTACAAGTATTGAAAAAAAGTACGATTACAGACATTAGGGTCTCAATGGGGTGGTACGCATCACGACTCACGGCTAAAAATTTGGCGATTTCACGACTCACGACTAATTTTTTCGAATCACGGTTAACTATATTAAGAAATTTTTGAATGAAGTTTTTCATTACGTTTTCTTTTTTTCGTATGAATAGACTGCGTGACTTATTCGTGCGGACATGGATTTTCTCTTTCAAATAAGCCGAAATGCGACTATCTCCACGAAAAAAAGATTAATCATAAATTCAGACACAAGAAAAATCCAAAAAGTGTTAGCAGGTATTGAGAACATAGTAGTGACATTGCTGCATTCCGTGTCTGACATCGGAGTTTACGAAATTTCAGAAGTGTCGCTTTTCGCGATGATGTATTCTATGCCGGGCATAGTAATGGTAAAATCAGGGAGTTTGCAGCGTATTCATATTATTATTTGACTCTAAACAAAATTATAGTCTTTTTAAATGGAGCAGATWTAGTTTCTTGTCACACTTAGAGTGACGCAGGCACTAAATGAGTGGGAGTTTTTGAAATGTASAAAACAAATCCCAAAAATACTATCTCAGAAAGAAAAACCTTTTATAACTAATTATAGTATTCTAAAATAGATATCTTATCTAATTACAGAAAATYTCAGAATATATACAATGTCCGTACGAATAAAAAACATAACTCGGCCACTCTGTTTAAAAAGTCAATGAAAGCGCTCTTTAAAATATCACATTTTAGTACAAACATACTAATGGTCTATCACTCATACTGCGCTGTGATTGGCTACTCTACTAATGGTCTAATTTTTGATAGACCACTCGCGGGAAAATTTATAAATTATTTTAAGGATATTTC